GTTTAGTCATAACACCTAAAAATGTCAGTTGGTGGTGATTGCTCCATTGATTTCTGCTTGATCAATAGGAACAGATCGTTTGAAACAGCTACTGAGGTTGGTATTTTGTCTCGCTTTACGTTCATAAGTTGCAGAATGTGTTGACCGTCTACTCTACTTGCACACCCATCTTCTCTTGTTGAGGCGTGTTACGTCACGCAATTGTTCCATCTGGTGACAGGCTCAGGCACCTGTGGCCAGAGTGTACAGTTAAAGATCAGTTAGACCGATTGTAAGCATAGTTTAGATCATTATGTTTTCTTCTCATTGATTCTAGAGAGGCAAAAAAATATATATTATTTTTCAAGCAATACGTTTTTGTAGAAATAAGTTCGGAAAAGCTGGTTAAAATGGCTACTTTGAAAAGAGTTACATCAATAACGCTAATTGTATGTCAACAAAAGCAAATTGGCAGACCATGATTGTTTACATGGTTACACAATAATTTATCTCGTAACTGACGAATAAAATGATTCTATGTAAGAAGTTAATATGTGAATCTTACGAAAAGATGCATCATTCCATGAATTTTGTAAATATATGTTATCTAACTCTATATATTTTCCTTGAACTATTTCAGATTGATTTTCTGACTACAGATATTATGACTTGTAGTTTACTGACTACAGATATTATGAATTGTAGTTTACTGACTACAGATATTATGACCTTTACTTTACTGACTACAGATATTATAACTTGTAGTTTACTGGATACAGATATTATAACTTGTAGTTTACTGGATACAGATATTACAACTTGTAGTTTACTGGATACAGATATTACAACTTGTAGTTTACTGGATACAGATATTATAACTTGTAGTATACTGGATACAGATATTATAACTTGTAGTTTACTGGATACAGATATTATAACTTGTAGTTAACTGGATACAGATATTATAACTTGTAGTTAACTGGATACAGATATTATAACTTGTAGTTTACTGGATACAGATATTATAACTTGTAGTTTACTAGATACAGATATTACAACTTGTAGTTTACTGGATACAGATATTATAGCTTGTAGTTTATATATTATTTTGACTTCAAAGTAAAAGTACTTCAGATTATTACTCCTCTAAATAGTACTTTTATCAATGAGCTTTCAACGTGCGGCCTTTAACAAATTAAAAAGGAGAGTAAAGTATTATTGATCAATGATCTTAATGACATGAATTTCTACATAAAACAAACAACTCTTCAATCAAATACGTTCTTAAATAATCTTTTAAAAGTTCATCAACGATATTTTTCCAGAAGGTTTCAAATGACATTAGTATTCACTTTTAAAATAGGACAGTAAATGGTAATAATATATAAACAGTCTAAGTTTTATTCGACCAGCACCACAATACGTGGAAAGTTCAAACATGACGTCATCCACATATCTGTAGAGAACTTTCGTTTATTAGGCAGATTAAAATACCAGAAAATAATTATCCTAGAAAATACAATGTTAAAACTTTTGTAATGAACAACGTTAAACATGTCTCACAGAAGCAAAGAAGATCCGACGGAATTGCAGTGGAACATACATATAGGTGAAGCGTCCAAGGTAGTTGCTCCAGAGCCCAGAATTTCGACTGACACAACTCTTGAATGGTCCACTTTTGAAACATGTATAAAGTTTTAAAAGTAATGCTTTTGGTGTCTATATTCCCTTAGATGATATTCAGTCCCAACTGGTGTAGACCCACATATAAGATACAGAAAATTAACACAACAGGGATCCATGGGCCTACCTGATACAAATTTTCAATTCTCGAAAAGCCTACCAGCAAACTGGACCAGAGTGACAACATTTGAGTCAACAACTAGGATTCTCTTTACACCTTGGGATGTACAACGTGTCAAGACTGACTGAAAGAGTTAGTGATGTATTCAACTGAACAGGACAGAAATAAACACATGGATTTCAACGTTGTAATTGATATATTTATAGAACAATAAGCCCGGAAGAGGGGTTTTTATTCAAACGTAAGTAAACAATTAGATAAATACTTTGTACTTTTGTGTTTATTAAAGTATTTGTCAGTTTATTAGAAAGTAAGAGTTTTACTACCAAATATCGGTCGGTGTTGGAATGTGAGGGACAGAGGAGGGTATATTCTTGTCTCAGGGCTTACATAAGCCTACGTACACTACCATGGAACATAAAAATACTAAACTGAAAATTAAGGGCTCAAAAATCGCCACTGGTGTAAATAATAATAATAATCCTTTCCAAGTGAGTATTTTAAACGCATGGACTATAATTCTAATAATACAGCATTGAATATTAAAATTCATACGCGAGCTATTAAAAGGAAAACCTAAAACTAGCCAACAAATCCTTTTCCTATAAAATTATTATTTTGATCTATAGCTTACAAGTAGAGGTACCCGTTCTTTGTCCGGATTATTCGGGTCCCCTGCTGGGACGGCGGTAAGTCTTCAGAATTACCACACAAAAATCAGGGGTTCGATTCCCCTCGGTGGACACAGCAGATAGCCCGATGTGGCTTTGCTATAAGAAAACACACACACACACACACACACACCCGGGTTACCGGTGGATGCTACGATAAATAACAAAAACATCCAAACTTTCACACAATTTATTGATAACATAAAATATTAATACAGTATTCATTATTACATCACCAAAAGTTTTGTATAAGCTTTAAGAATTCAGACATGGTATACACTGTGCGATGGTCAGGGTAACTTTGTAGTGAGAGGTAGCAGAAAAAGTAGTAACGATAGAAGAGATTTCTGTTACCCACTTTCAACACCCAACCCTTAATGCCCTTCCACGGTGTTTCACGTGATTAAGTAATCGACGGTCATTTGCCGTAAAAGTGTCTTACGGACCACAGTTGAAAGGTCATGGATCAATGTAGGAAGTTGGTATAACTCAAAAACGGCTCCTCATATCAGCCTTATGGTGGCCGTTGGAGTAGAAACTTCAGCAGAACTTATGTGTTATTGCAATAGTGGCGGCCATTTTATTTTTATTGCATTCCTCTATAGAGAGTGCTAGTGCACTATCTGAGATGTATTTGACATTTGTGTGTCCTTCCATAACACTGTGTGTATGTTGTGTTATAGAAATCTAATAAAGTTTTCTTCACTGTCAGGTCGTGGCGCCATCTGTGAATATAGTTAACGTTAACTTACGTGAAAGATAATAAATGCACAATAATAGCAATAATCGGGGTGGAGGGGGTAGTGAACCTACATTACATGCCCCTTGTTCCAAACTATCATCCCACAACGTTTGATTGAGATTGGTCCAGCGACCTAGGAATAGTTAGATAACGAACAAACAGAGAGACACAACTTTTGTGATTTATATATATATACCAAATAAAAACTTTATATATGCAGCGCGTGATAAAACGTACGTTTGAAATATACTAAAATTCTAAATGTAACCTGCTTGTTCATTTTTCCGGAAACGTGTGACAATTGGGCATTCCTGAAGTGTTTTTTAAGTATTATATTTTGTATGACAGGCTATGACATAAAATAATTTTTGTTTTAACTTGATGCTTTTCATTGTTTTAAAAAACTACTTGTTCACATGGTTTTGTTTGCTTTTATACTTTAATTGTGCCTTCTAGTGGCTCGGCGATATGTCTGAAGGCTTATAATGCTAAAAACCGGGTTTCGATACCCATGATGGACGCAGCACAGATAGCCCATTATGTAACTTTATGCCTAACTACAGACAAACGAAACTTTACTAATTTAAAACAAGTTTCTAGAAATTGTTATAATTCAAGCTACCTTTTTTTTTGTTATTCACATGACGTTGTAAAATTACAAACCTCGCATCCCATAGTTGGTGTTGATATCAAAAAGTTGAGTGAAAAACATACGTAAAAAATTAAGCTAATCTTGATCTTGTAGAGGTACGGACTCTTTTCTTTCGTGTCTTCATCCTGTTTAATGTGTTACGTCAATTATCTTGGTCAAAAGCATCATAATGAAGATATATTTTATACTGCCATCTCTTGTCACGAAAAGAGGTTATTTTGTATCCTATAAGTCAACTTCGCAGTCTTTTTTTTCTGAAAGTATATTCTTCTATTGGAGTCATATTTAAACTGAGTGAACAAAAATTATTTTCAGGTTTAACTCATGCTATCAATTCAAGCCTTGTAAATTATTGTTATATCATAATAAATAATGTAATCCCAATCACTTTTCTGATGTGATTAACTGTTGTTTTAATCTCTAATAGTATGATCTAATTGATAATGTTAACTTTCTAAAATAATTTAATAATTATGTTTACATGAAACAGCCTGTGTTTGATAATTAGAAGGGAGATTGTATTCAATCCTTCTTTTCAAGAATTCTGATGTTCGTCAACTAAATAGCTATTTCTCACAACTCTTTCGAGTGGCAAAAATCACACTAGTCTATTGTTTATTTTTATCTCACGATCTGAAAAACATGCCCGTTCTTGGCTTTTTTTTTAAAAAAAAAACTTATATAAAGCAGTTTGGTTTTTTCAATACAAAAAAAAATAGTTTTCACCCGCAATTTGTTTAAATACGACAAATATCTTAAGATATCGATCTGAAACTCGCGCCTATTAATAATATTTGCAGCAATGCTATCTTGAAATTACATGTATTAATCACAATCAGTTGACGATATTTAAGTGTAGATTGTGTTGTGATTACAATATAACGTATGATATAAAATTATAAGTCTTAATACTATTAACCAGAACAGAAAAAAAATGAACTTACCTTGAAAGTGATGTTATTTTCATTTCAACAATTTATTCTCAACTTAGTTTTAATTCTATTACATTTCATAAACGTTTCAGCTAAGAAAATTAAACATTTAATATTTCAAAATTCCATAATTTAGAAGTGTTTAAATAAGGCAATTAAAAGAGATAATCAGCTTTACAAGTTTTCATCAGACGAGCCAGTTAAAAGTGATAGTCAACACTGAATGTTTTCAAAAGACGAGCCAATTAAAAATTTATTTGTTTGTCGTTAAGCACAAAGTTACACAATGAGCTATCTACACTCTGCCAACTTCGGGTATTGAAACTCAGTTTTTAATGTTATAAGCCCTCAGACTTACTACTGAATCACTAGGAGGCCATAATTAAAAGAATTAACCGAAATTGTACGTTTTCGACAGTACTGTTCTGTCACGAAGAATGTTTTGAGTATTTCCCCCCTAAAAGTAATATGTTAGGCATAATAATATAATACCAAAAGAGTAATGTTTTGTTAATTAATAGTAATAACTGTAATAAAACTGAGAAATAAAGGAGAAAACCTGTAAACATGTTAAGAGTTTGACTGATCCATCTAGTTCACCATTTATTGAATGTGTTAGTAGAAATAAACATTATTTAGAAATATTTTCGGTGATTTTATTCCCTCATTAAAAAAGGTGAAGTTTGTGAACAAGACTTGTTAAAAATTCCAAATTTATCTACATTATGAGCAATAATAAATGTAATAGCCTTCCTGTCCCATACTATATTAAAAGGGGTAATTAAATGTATAAACCTTTACTACATTACCTTTTCCATACAATCGTTTATGATTAACTAAAAATAATCCACATTTCAAACTCTTCTTTGGAACTTTAGTTTTTGCTCTTTGCGACATAGTGCTTTCTTGATGTTGCTTTCAATACTAACGTCAATTATATTATTGCCAAGAAAGTAATCGGTCGATACAATATTGCACGACCACCACCAGAGGTCTCTAAACCAGATAGTTACTTGTCTGTTGACGTCATGAGCCATTCCGCGATGTCCCTTAAGCGGTTCGATTAAGAAATTTGCTATAGTAGAAGTCAGCTCAGCCATGGCTGAAGATAAATAGGAAGTTTCGAGCTGACGGAAAGAATTTTCAAAAAAAGACTTAAGGCTTCCCACAGTTTGTTTGTTTCCCCAGATATGAGTTACACCTGGCCAGAGAAGTTGACTAGAAACATAATAATCACTGTTGTAACTCACCAAGACACGTTTTTGGGCGTTCCACAATGTTCCTAACGTAGCATTATGTCCGACATTCCGTGGGATCATGAAATGTCCCAGATACTCTAAAAGCTTAATAATGAGGCGTTGATGAATATCTGGACGGTTTGTAAAACCAGTTGGAAAGTTATGGATGTCCAAGAGGATTATCTCTTCTGTAGACCAAACGAAGGACGCCACATCCTGCAGTACGGTTGCTAATGTATTGTTGACCGAGAAGAGACGATGGTTAATCCAAAACTTCTCTGTAGTGCCTGGATAGTATCCAACTCTGAGATCTAGAAACCTAATACCATAAGCTAGCTGATTGAAGACACTTTCCTCTTGATTGTATAGATAACGGATAAATACCTTTTCACTCTCCGATCCTTTGTACCGTTGATAACTACCGGCATTATGAGTACCGGGAATCATCAAGTTTACAAGCGGAATATCCTTGATCCATTCCTTATTTTCTTTCATCCAGTATGGTCTCGCGCGTAAACAAGATGATGCCAGTACTTTGTCCTGCCTAAGATATGCAATCCAAAACCCAAGACAGTTAGTCGTGAGGTTGTGTGACGCGAAATTTAAGTGTGGGAACTGGACATTAGTCTTGTAATACCCTGACACATGCAATAATGGATCTATCATAACTAGTGAGCGCTCCAAGCTCTGTTTAGGATCACGGTCAAATAACATTACTCTGTCGCCTTCATTGCGAGTACCTCCAAGCCAATTTAATTCTAGCTGTCTCTCTGTAATGTCACCAGATGGTGATGTTGAAACCAAAGAAGATACAGTTAAGAAGACTCGCAGACTTCCTCTTTTTGGAATCGAGCATTCTGGGGAGAAAATGAAATCATTCTGGATAAAATTAATGCAAAACACCTGGTACTATTGAAATAAATATTTAATGGACACTTGAGGTATCTAGAGTTTCTTAATTTCGATCATAATGATACATGCCTACTTAGTATCAAAAAATACCGAAAAATGATATTAAAATGTTTTTAAGACGTTTTAAATTATGGTTATAGATTATTTTGAATTATGTAACGAGTTTCTTACACCTGCGGTAGTTTTCTAGTTTGGAGACGATGTTTCGAACTGCTGGCGCAGATTCTTTTGAAGAAGGTCATTGAAGGGTTAAATACTAGAAATTATTAAACTGAAATAATGAAAATGTTTACTAGCAATAGAATCGTCATTTCCAATCTACAGCAGATGAATAAAGTTCATTACATCATTGAGAATAAATATCAATTTGTTGTACTTTCGCAACAAAAAAATACATAATGCTTTTTTAATAAACTTTCTTTATACTGCTGAAATTTTAACTCATTTTCAAGTGTCTTCTCGGTTGGACTGCGGTACCTTTACGGACTTGCAATGCTAAAATCCAAGGTTTGATTCCTCGCAATGGATACAGTAGATAGCCTAATGTAGCTTTGCTATTAACCAATCAAACAAACAACCGAATAACTGTCAATTTCCTAAACAAACCAATACACTCATGCGTGTTCTTAAATGTCATTGGAGCCGGGCGTGGCCTAGTGCTTATTGTGACGAGTTGTGGATCAAAAGATCCAAGATTTGAGCCGTGATATGCTGCTGAAAACACTCCGCATTTTCAACTGTAATGGAATTAGAACTGTGGTAACAAATTCCGCTGTTTGGTTTAAAGTATGGTATTCGTGGTTTAGAGGGATAATGATACATGAGTAAACCACTCCCACATAACGAGAAGTTAAAATGATTGGTTGGATGAAGTGTTAGTGTGAGAACAAGCGCTTAAGTAAAGGAACGAATATGTTTGTCGGACACAACTAAGTACTATTAATTTTACACTCTACAATTATCTCATATTTTCCAGGTTGAAATGGCGAAATTAAACATAAATAAAACTGAAATTAACATGAACTTGAAAGAAAAACTGATATTAAAGTATGAAAGTGTACGGCCGACATATAAATAAAGGGGCTACACAAAATACGGCACCTAAGACCAAAACCGTAGCCAAGGGGACGACAGAAATCGGCTAAAGTCTCTGAAAGCGCTAAAACTGTTCACACAATTGACATTCTCATTATTGCTGACCAATTACAATAACATTATTGCTACAGCTAACCAATCACAGTCGCATACTTGCTTCAGTCGATCGACCACAAATTTGTTTTCAAGATCCAAAAGTATCTCAGTATGCTCCATGTACCAACCATAAACAGCCTCAGTTTCAGGGTGATATTGGGTACAATACAACTATCCCCTGATACAGCAGATAACGCCTTTTACAGACTCGTGCTATAAAGAATAACACATAAGGTTGAACCAGCACAGAGAATCGACCATATTTACCATGTTTTGAAATAAGATTCTAGAAAAACTTAAAACGTTTGTTACTATCTAAAATATACGCTATAGGATAAGGAAATAAGCGATATCTGTATACCACAAAAACATCCACGGAGGCGGCATTTCTAATGAACGAGTGTTCTTCCTATATTATAGATGGCTGTACCTGAGGAATAAAATACCTTTTATTCAGTTTCCCTCCCCCCTCTCCCATATGCAGGTCCCTACCCCTATTAAGTTAATAATTCGGAGTTAAAATTCTATATCAGAAGGTGATTCGCTAATTGGTACGAACATGCATGAAATAAAATAACGTATAGTTCGTTTGAAGCAAAATATTCTTAAGTTGTTAAATCTCATAAATTTAAAGACTGTGTGGAATCATGCAAGAGTTAACGTACTGTCTCACCACATAATTACATTGTCAAGTTAAAGCAACTAAACTTAGTTTGGGAAGGAGGTCAATGTCTCAATGAATAGTTTTTTGTTTACAATGTTGCTTAAGACTATGATATGACTAAATTTGGGATTTCTTGCCATTTTTGAGGGTTTGGGTTTTGAAGAACTTGTAGATCTCTTTGTTGCTTCTTGGTTTGTAAAGCATTAGATATGTTGTTGAAATATATTGTAAAATTTGTTTAATCAAAAAATTGAGATTTTTTAACTATTTTTTCATCAAAAAGAAAAGTAATACAGTTATAAATAATGGTAAATGGCAGAGGCCTGAAAGTTTGTGTGGTGAATCTGTGATTGTTCTGTGTGTGTGTGTGTAATTTTTAAGTTTGTCATAATCTGAAATTGACCTATTGACATTGTTAAAAAGGTTTTGTTGAAGTTACGTCCAAATAAAAAAAGACGTTTTATTTTATGTTTTAATAAATAATTTAAAAATATTCTATAGTAGTAACATATTTCCCAATATGCATTAACTAGTACAATAAAAATTAACAGAAACGAAATTTTGTATTACATACTATCTTCAGAGAAACGACGTAAAAAACAATTATTTCGTTTATATAATTAGTTCAAGCAGTCATTAGCAGATGACAATTCATTCACGCTTTTTTTCTCTGTGTTTCTTTTATTTCAATCGTTAATTACTAACAACAGATGGCGAAACTGTAAACAGTGACAACAGTATTACAGGCTTGTTTGTTTGTTTGAAGTTAAGCACAAAGCTACACAATGGGCTATCTGTGCTCTGCCCACCACGGGTATCGAAACCCGGTTTCTAGCGTTGAAAGTCCGCAGACATACCGCTGTGCCACTGGGGAGGGAGGGCAATTTTTATATGCAAGCTCTGAGGATGGCGTAATTGATTAAGACACTTTTGCGTCCCCCCCCCTGCGGACGCCCATGCATTTGTAGGATATTCTAAGATAATATTAAGTTGGATCTGCATTAAAACTTATATTAAATGTTATTAACATTCTCTAAAAAATACTTACGTTTTATTGTAAAGTAATTTCTAAAAGGTCGCATAGAATGTTAAGTCTATGTTCTACAATTCTGAAACAAAAACAATACAACAGTGTAGCGTTACAGGGTATTCGTTATGTAAATTACATTATTGTGTGACCATGAAAAGTGTTTCATTACGAGTTGAAAGCATTATTTTAACTATAAAACATTCATAAATATGAGATGTTCATTTGATTTTTTTTTGCGATTATAGCATTGACTATGGACATTTGTTTGTTTATGCAATAGAAATGTTCTACAAAATAACACAAGGTTGTGACACACCTACAGATCATAACGGTTATTCTTCCTGTTATACAAACACACACACACATGACACATTATATGTCTGTGATACAAACTAATTCCTAAAATATTTCACACTGTGCTGTGTTCATGTTAGGTTTACTTTCGGACGGACTGTTGAATCACCTTGGGTGATATTGTTATCGTAAACGTATATATTGACTGATGCTTGTTATTGCCTAACTCATTGGTAGAAAACCAGTTTTTCACAAACATATGTTAACACATGTATAGCATCTCATCTGGGCCTCCAAAGTCTGTCACAAAGTTGGGATAAAAAACTCGGAGCTTTTGTTTGTTTGTATCGGCCAACACAAAGTTACATGCAGTTCACCGGATCCTCTCCCGACTAACTGGTAAAACTACTTCATTCATGAAGATAATCACACTATCCAAACCTCAATCACGGGTGCTCTTTCCATTACTTTCACTTCAAGGCCGAAAACCCTTACAGGGGCAATCGTCGACAAGCCTCACCACTTACAAGCCCATCAAATAATAGACAATTCCTCAATCCAAGTGCCACCACACATTAATTCTCCTACTGCCAACGAATTTACCCAAACAAGCCAAGAAACTTCCACCACTGACCAAGCCACCCAGACTGACTTCCCGGAGATCAATCATGCAATCACATGAACAAATATTATTACTTTTTCCGCCCAGTCTACGCAGGCCAAGCCCCACGCAAGAAGAAAATTCACGCAAACTCAACCACATCCACTGCCAACCTTCAACGAACAACTTTCCTGTAACCTTCCTCAACAACTCCTTCCCCACTCGCCTATACTCATCAGTCCTACATTACTCGAAGATTTCTCTCACATTGACTCAACCTACCATGATTATAGCGAAGACGATGATTACGATCGTGCTTCTCCAAGCTTACAACATCATGAACACAACTATCTTCTGAGAAACTAACCCTCGTCTTCTCAACCGCTGACTTTCTTTTCCGTTCAGGACTTTTTTTTCGGGCACAGCCAGGGTATACTTTTTCGTCGTCTGAACCGTGAAAGTGGGATTTCTCGGGGCACTCCCGTTTGTGAAGTTTGGATCTCCCTTATTCATGGCTCTCTGGTCTCCTCCTGACTGCTTGAAGCATCTTAGAATATGTTATGTCAACACAGTCTTCTTTAAGTAAGCTTAAACCAAAAAACTTCAAGTACAGCCCACACAACCACCACGAGAGGGGTGAAAAAAAGCTAAATATTCTGAGCACCCACGATAATCTCCCTCGGGGGATGTCATACCGAAATTCCTGCCACGTATTGTTGTTTTTAAGCACAAAGTTACACAATGGGCTATCTGTGTTGTGCCCACCACGGGTATCAAAACCAGGTTTTAAGGGTTATAAGTCTTCAGACTTACTGCTGAGCCACTGAGGGGTAAACCCAGAGAAACCGAGTACTACTAATAACTGCCACGAAACAAACAAACCAATTGCAGTATATTTTTCGGTTTATTTTGTTACAATGTCGCCACCAAAGAAAGCGCAAGGATGGCCTAGTAAAAAAAAATATAAATCAACGTGGTTGGTTTCTGAAAGAGAAATGGAACGACAAAAATCTCAAGTACTTATAATTCTGTTGAGATGTCTTTAAATATAACTGAAAGATAAGTAAATGTATCATTACGAAAAAGCAAATACGTGTAGTAGAGCAACTTAGTTGTACCTGCTTGTATATTTGTTTACTTTAGAGCAAAGCCACATTGGGCTATGTACTGTGTCCACTGCAGGGCGAATCAAACCCTGGATTTTAGCGCTGTAAGTCTGTAAACTCACCGCTGGATGTTCTAGCTGTTTTCGTAATTAGATTTTTTTTTTTTTTTTTGCTTTCTGTGAACATCTGACTTGATTTATTCATTACACAAAATAACTTATTTAGAGTAACTTTTGTGATTAAAAGCTCATTTTTAATGTGTAATATTGTAACTGAAGTAAGGCAAACTTCTCTAAGTTCCAAATGCTCATTTTTAATGTGTAATATTGTAACTGAAGTAAGGCAAACTTCTATAAGTTCCAAATGCTCATTTTTTAACGTGTAATATGGAATCATTGTAAATACTTCTCTAAAGTTCCAAATGCTTTTTTTAACGTGTATGCAAATGGAAATTGTTTACCTCAACAAAAGTCCTTATAATTCGTATGTTGATTTTCATTTCATAATGCGTCACACTACATGCACTGAGTGAAAACCAGTCCATATCTTATCATCAGTGCAATAGTTAAAGTGCAGACTGAATACTGTATTTACTCAAGCAAACTGTACAACTAAAACATTTTCTCCCTTTTTTGATGCGTGAATAGTAGCTGAAACTAAATGTTTTTTTCTTAAACTAAGCCTTTGTACAGACTAAACATAAGTTACAGAACTGTGTCGCAATAGTTTTTTGTTTGTTTGTTGTTGTTTGTTTGTTTGTGGAGAAGGGGGGGGGAGGGGGCATAGTGTAAACAACTCCATAGTTACACTTCCCATAATAATTATACTGACTAAAGTTTATTTGCTAATCGTAAAATGTTTTTACTTACCTCCTTTCCCATACACACACAAAATAAGACTGTACGCTAAGTCTCTAATTCAAAGTAAATTCTTATATACTGTTAAACAATATCAACAGCTGAATGACTTATTTAGATTGACCTACAACAAAAATTATTGTAACACTTACCAGCTGGAATATCAAAATGAGCGAAGGGAAGTAAAATCGCCCAACAACAAGCCAACACCAGTACACAACGCTTTGAAGGAAGGGAATAGGTTGACATCTCTGTTTCTAGTAGCAATTCTTCAAATACTTCTGCAATAAATACCTCAATTTTGTATATGCATTATCCATATCTTTGACCGAATTATTCATAGTACATTGAAACTACAAGTATAAATCTTACTTATGTGCGTATTATAATTGTATATTCGATGATATATTAGATAAAGTAAGCTTAAGAATTAGTGCAAAGCTTTCAGTACAAAATATTTTGATCTGGAATGTTCTATATTGTTCCTATAACAGATTAAGCCATTTGAACGTTTAGTTAGTTGAAAACTTACTTTTTCGCTTCTCATAACATGAAAGTACAATTTCTGAAGTTCCTATTCTTCTTGAATAAAATACCTTAAGTTGTCAGCAAAAAGACAGCAATCCCCCATACAAGTATATTATTTTCTCAGTTGGTAATTTGGATTAGTAATATAACGTTGTTTGCTTTAAGAACCACTAAAAGCTATATCTTTAACTTGAACGTATAAACAGTTGTGTACAAAACAAACCTTTTGATCCGATCTATACTTCCGGTCACAAAGTAAGGAAATATATGTGTACTTGTATATTTGTAATAATAGAGAAACAAACACCGGAACGAGGAAACTGTGATGGGAAGGAAGTTAAGAAAAAGAGATAGTGTAAACGCAAAATATCTCTTATAAAAGTAGTAGTTAAATCTTGAGTGGCGAATCCTTAGACAAAATCAGTGAGCTTGTGATTTTGAATCACAATAAAATAATCACATTAAACTTAAAAAAGGAATTTATTAATATTTCTAAATAAAACTTACTTACAAATAATATTTACTAATAGCTTGAAAACTTTATATTTCCTTCGGTAGTAATTACATTTCTCATGAAATTTCAGTGTGCAATATTCATTCCCAAGTAGAAGCTTATTAATGTTAAAATATGGATTCGATACCCGCTATGGACAGAACACAAATAACCCATTATTTAACTTCGTGCTTAACAACAACCAAACTAATCCCAAGTAGAAGTAATATCTTTTAATCGCTCTCTATGGCTATAAACAATGTTCCTGGTTGTGTTCTCTAGCATTGTGCAACATAATATAAAATGAGAAAGCTTGACTAATTTTATCGTGTGCAGAATAACTTCCAACCTACTCATATTAGGTCTGTTTAAACGTACAGAGTTCTAGGATGTGGTGAATATCAGAAAAAATAAACAGTTTTATAAAGACATTACACGGCATTAAAAGTAAAAAACACAAAACCGACTTTTTTGACACCTTTCGTTGTGCCAAAAAACGTCGGGTTTTGTGGGTTTATTTTATTCTCAATATAATAGCACAATGTGCCTGAAAATAAACCTTCTATTTTTGTTCGTAATCTCTCTATCTACAACTACCAAATTAATTTTAAAATCTTTATCTGTTTACATTGATTGTGTCATTATTTTGGACACAAAACTAAACTCAAGCTGGAAAATCATAAACCTTTCGAATTGATATGGGGGGGGAGAGAAGTGAGTGCTTCCCCTATATTGCAGATGGGGACTCGCTTCTGAACCTTCGGGTTTGGCAAGTCTGAAGCCTCAGATAATAATGTAATCAAGGTACACGGTCAACTACAGGCTGGAGACAGGTTTAGGAGTCTTTACTCCCGAATAATTTTTTGTTTTAAATTAATACTTACCTTAGATGCCTAACGGTTAGAGATTTAATGCCAATTATTTCATTGCACTTTTCCGAGACAGGAAATTAATGAATATATTTCAATTGTCAGTGTTATTTCTAACTCATTAGTTAGATCATGCAGATCCTGAGCACTGTATATATATATACATTAGGTCGTCAAGAAATTAATGTCGCTTTTGTTCAGACGAAAAAACCCGAACAACTTATATATCAAAACAAAACATTTATTGAAGGAAATAGTCTCCATTATTATCGATGATGCTTTTTCATCTTACAATCAGGTTGTTAATGCCCTGATTAAAGAAATCACTTGGCTTTGAAGCAAGAAACATGTCAATGTCCTACTTAACACTTTCCACATTTTCATACGTTTTTCCATTAAGATAGTGTTGCAGCGAACGAAAAAGATAGTAATCTGATGGTGCCATATCTGGAGAATATGATGGGTGGGGGAGAACTTCCCAACCCAACTCCATAATCTTGTGGACGTGCATTGTAGTGGAGAAGAACACCTTTCCGACTGACGAGTGAAGAGCGTTTCTGATGAAAGGCTTGATTTAAACGTTCCAGTTGCTGAATATAGATCTCTGCATTGACAGTTCGCTGTGGATTGTGGAGTTCGAAATGAATTACTCCTTTGATGTCCCACCAAATGCAAAGCATCACTTTCTGCGGATGGAGTCCAGGTCTGAGACTGGGCCATTGTTTTTGGCGTTTAATATTCGTATAGAGGATCTATTTTTCATCACCAGTTACAATTCTGTCCAAAAATGGCTCACGCGCATTTCGCGCCAGAAGAGACAAACCAAGGTTCACACGTTGGAAACGATGGTCATCGGTGTGTTCGTGAGGCACCCAAACGCCTTCCCATATTTTTTAGATGCTTACGTATTGTTTCATGAGAGACATGCAATTTCAAGGCCATTTCATGAGTATGTTGCCTTGGGTTAGACCTTGTCGAAACGTTGTACATTTGCTGTTGTGTTAAACTTATATTAAAGTTTTTCCTTCATTACCCATTCACGCCGTCTCCAACCATTATTAGTCTCAAAGTGGGTTCCTCGTCATCGAATTTAAACTCAAACTCACTTAGGCATCTAATGTTATAAGCCTTATTTTAGGAATTTAATTACCTCTGTTCTCCATTTCCAAACTTCTGCCATAATATAATATACTCTAACAAACAAAAACTTTTGGTGAAGCTTTCATAGCAAGTTGATATTATCAACATAATGACTTCTTTTATTAATTGGGACGTATACCATAAAAATAATATTGTTTTCAGGTTGAAAAGAACACGAATTATATTTTGATTTGAAATTTACTCATTGATAACATTAAAAAAGTACTTGTGCAGTTTCTCAATAACATGTGTCTTTAGATATATTTTTCAACTTCTATCTATGTACATATAGTTATGTTGTTCATAAGTTATTAATAATGTGTTAGTTTATGTTTTGTTTATTTTTTCTTTCTCATGATCACTCTAACGTAACATAAGTAAAACTGAATTTTTAGATGTATTTTTGAATTTGAAATCTTCAGCGATGGTATATATATTTTGGGTAATGGTAATTCACATAGATAACTGTCATTGCTACTACACTTATAGAAACTGAATATTCCTTTGACGATATGTGCTTGATTTGGATGCAAGTTCCTTTTGTATTTTACACCAGAATTTTGGTTACATAGATCTTAAAGCACAATGTTTATATGAATTATCTGTAATCATTATTGCTTTCTTATAATTATAGTTTTGTAATTATATACTTCTAACTGTGTGCTTGAAGTTGAATAAGACAATCTATTGTAACATGAAGCAATATTATTGGTAACTTAGTAGTTAATTAACCTCACAACACCTGGGTGGGTCAAAATGTCCATGTCACAAACTTTTTTTACAGAGTTATGTTTAAAATTGAATCACGCAACTTTATTATCAATGTATGTCAATGAACTTAGTATCAAAATGTAGTTTGTAAATCATATTTTAGTATCATATAAGTTTTCATTTCAAAAGGAAATGTTTAACCCTTCACTGCCCAATTAATGTTGAGGTGATTCCCCAAAAATGTCGGTATGCTCTCAGGAGGTCTTATAGCTGTATTTAAGAGCAAATTATCATTCTTGCTCTAGTGTGAAAGCAATTTTAATTTCAGTTGGATAGAGAACTCCTGATGTCAAATGTCCTCATACGATTTGTTCCGAGTTCGTTATGTATCATTTCTCTATTACAGCCCATACATTTGTTGTTCCAAGCCCATAGTGTGTCCCTTTTTTATTACCTTTTGAAAGTTATCATTTTATAGCAAAAGCTTTAATATTCAGTTTTATGGATAATTTGAATATGATACAATCTATATAAAGTCGCACATGATTTTTGTTCTTATTTGAAAATGTTGAAAAGTCGTTTTACCAGAAAATGACCCTCAGTGGCACAGCGGTAAGTCTGCAAACTTATAATCCTAGAAATCTGGTTTCAGTAACTGTGGTGGGCACAGCACAAATAGTCTATTGTGTAGATTTGTGCTTAACTACAAACAATCAAAACCAGATAGTTAGATAGACATCACGGGAAATAGCAGTGATTACAAAATATTGCGTTTGGAAAAGAAATTCATGTTATCTACTTTTGGGGAACAATAATATTGATATTAAATCAAATATATTGTAGTGAATTACGACAAAATATCATTTGAAAAATTACTTATAGCATTAACACGACTCAAATTTGATTTATTTCAGGTAATTAATATGAGTGAAATGAATCATGCAAATCTTGTAGCATATGATACATATCATTCAAGTGATAACTTTTTACTATAAAACATAAAAAAAACACCTATGTTAGGTTTCATAAGCAACATCTATGCTTAGATGATTTGAATTTATTCGCTAAGTTAAGTCTAAAATAATCTATATATCTACTATTTATCTATCTATGTAATAGTACGTGTCATTTTCAACACCTAAGCTCAAACAAGATCGCCCATAATTTTATTATATGAGCGATTGAATAATGAGCTATTGCCAATGAACTAAGACAAATTTAGTTTATAAGACAGAACTGATAAAGAATCATGTCAATAAATGAAGTAAACAAAACGGTGTTTTTCAAAACGTTCAAAGCTCTGGTCCTTTACAAAAATGCGTCATTAAGACATTTTCTATCCGTTCTATGTATTAATTAAAATACGTCAGTAATATGATTATAAATAGTATAAAGATAAGTAGGTTTACTAAGTGATTTATGTAAATTATAGAATGTTACTGTTTTAATTATGTGTTTCAATTAGATCTTTATTTTTATTTTTTTGCGGTGTATAGTTTTTTCTTTTAGAATCGAGTTTGAGTTATTAATTTTAAACTGTGTAGTCCATTGAACAGGTTCCTATAATATCCGATAGAAGTAGTAAGTCGTTACCATAACAACACATTTAGCGATTTAGACAACTTCTTCATACAAATACTTAACAAGTTAAAAACTTTTAACGTTAAAATTATTAGAGTAAAATTCATCACAAGCAAATTTAAAATTGGAACTGATCTTATTGAAGGTGAGACTATATCTGTGTAAATTATTCGCTCAAATTTTCAAGATGTTTTCAGAATATAGGCCTAATTGAGTGTTCGTGCAAAAAACACACACCAAACAATTTTTATAATATTAATAGTGATAATACGTTTTTGAATTTCAATGCAGAAAAGTGAATAAAGGACTATACATCAAACAAAATAACATGATATTTATAACATTTACAGTGGTCATCTACATAAATATCTTTACCATGTTAATGTATGAAACACGAAAACAGTAATAAGATATGTTACACGTTTTTTGTTTTGATTTGGAATTTTGGGTTAAAAAAAAATTTTTTTTAGTGCAAGAATACACTAAATTTTAAACTTTTGCGATTGTCATTTTTAGGCTTGCTTTATGATGATTTCATCTAGAAATGTATTTTATAGTATTGTACTTCACTTTTACTTAAATTTATAAATTACAGGCAAGAACTAGGTTTGAAAGGTTTATTCCAAGATAATTTAAAGTATTTCTAATTTTATTGACAAAACAAGGTTTTTGCAGCTTTTATTTGCATCTATGTATACCAAGTCTTATATAATTGAGTTTATTGAAGTTCTAGTTCTTTTTTTTCAAGTTTGTGCAATGTATAACGTCTCTCTCTCTCCTTCCCTTTGTTTTTAATTATCCATGTAAGCAACATTTTTTCTATATATAAAGACAGCCATTTACCTGAAACCATTGATGCTTTCTGGGATGAACATTGTTACTGATATCAGCATTCAGCTACTTGTTTGGCTTTATAGATATATATAATTGTTTACATTTTTGTGTATTTAGTTGTAACCAAACTTAGACTTAAAAGCTCTGTCTGAGCAAAGTATTTCAAATACTTTGACTTTCAGATTCTTTTTCATGGTGATCTTTGTTGGCATTTTTCTATATAAAAGGCCACTGTACTTAGAAATAAAAAAGAACACTTTTATATGTTTTTAATTGTACATGAAGTGTTTCTGATGATTTTTTTATATGAAGACCCAGTCTATCTCAAGTTTTAAAGTTTTGGCGAAAATTGCTTGTCATAAGCCATTTTCAGCTGTGATGTCACACATACATATTGTTCCTTAATCTTTGTGAAGGTTAATTTACTGTTTAAGATTTTTTATGTAAAGCTGCAAATGTACTTGGTAGATTCTTAGAAAGGAAGAACAAGACTTTTCGAAAGCTAGGGAAGTTGTTTTCTTTTTTGTTTATTTTACTTTATCCTGCATACTCCCGTACATTCTAGTTCTGTAAATCTTAATTGTGATTTGTTTACTGTAGCTTCAGTGTGTGATTTTTTTCTTTTTTACTAAATTAGTTAAGGTTTTTCAAAATGTATGTAACTAGTACAAAACTGTATCATATAATTTATAGAAAAATATTTTCAGCATAAAAGTGTATTTACATGTATGTATCAAACTTCAATTTAGTAGTATCACAAGTACACCCAAGTTATAATAAAATATGTTAAGCATGTATCAATATTCCTATTACACAAACTTTTTGAACATGTTTCCAAAATAAACTGTTTTGTACCTTTTATGATTTAAACTTTATTAATTACTTTTCTTGATTAGAGATGGAAAATGACATTCATGTTTCTTCAGACCAAATCATTACAGAATTCAACACTTATGAAGAATTTCTTGATTCTCAAATTACACCTTTGGATCTATATTATCTAGAGGTAAGACAAAACCAAATAATCTAAAGGTCTATAAATATTGTGAGGTCAATGAAAATAATCTTTTGAAATTTGTATTTTTTGGCATGTTAAAATAAAAGCAGATAAAGTATGTATATCTGTATTATTCACAAATAAATTATGCACATGTAATTCACAATTAAAAGTATTTGGCAGCAGATTTTGCATTTGTTACAATTATAACTTTCAATAGTTAAAATGAAATTAAGCTATTCTTGAAACTTGGGTTTCTTATTGAATATTACTTAACATATAAGCATAAATATTTTTTTAGAAAATGCCATGCAGAATTGGAACACACTATCTCATGTGAAAAGAAGTACACAGTATTTTATTAAGATTCCAGTTCTTTGAGCAACTTATATTTTCAAGAAAAGATTTTCAATATTTAAAGGAGTAATTTTAACTTCACCTTTTTATTTAACTGCCATTTTTAATGTACTCAAGGAGAATCTATCAGTTAAACAAAGTTTTCATTAAACTTGTTTTTAAGTTAACAACTGTTTGGTTAAGGTTCCCTGTTGTCACGTTACAAATTAATGGGGCAAGTTAATGCTTGATATTTGTCAGTGCACAGCCATTTTATTAACATGTATAATGTAAATATATATAACTTCATAAATAATTTGTCAATATTGGTTATTGGAAACCATAGGCAGAATTTTAGATAATGCCATCATTTCAAACTAATGAAGTATTGTATATATATATATATATATATACATTAACACATAAAGGCAGAAGGAAATAAATTGCTTTTTTTAAATATAAAATAAAGGACGTACAAGCATTTCAATCAAATTCACTTAATATATGAATGTTTCAGGAAAAAGGAAAATATTGTGTGATGTCCCTAGCCCTCACTTCAAAGGATTTTTTAAATGAAATTACTTAAATTGTTATTTCTTTTAATGAACTATGCATAGCAATATCACAGCCATGTATGTCAAACTGTTTGTACAATTAAACAAGTGCTAATGTCTTAATCCTCCCCCAGTATGTAGTGTTTTTGTGATGTCATACATTATGTATAGTACCTTAGGAGAAGGTTTTAATGTATCAGTCTCTGTAGACAAAGCTACTATTTATATGGTTGTACATATATGTATGTCTAATTATATTGACTGATACTGTTCAGAATTTGAAGAGTAAATGATTGAGTTATTCACGTAACATGCAATGTCTGTTGTTGTTGTTGAAAATTTATATACAAAGGATACTGCAATGAAAGCTTCCTGTGGAAGATTAAACAGCATAGTCATATCCTTCTCTGATGCAAATGTAGATGTAAGGGGAAACGTGATTGATTGTACTTGTATTTCCTGTCTTTAGATGAATTGGAGGAGATTACTGAACTTTGTTTCTCTAGTTAATTATTATATCCTTCTCATTGTGTTGCAAAGTATCATCCTAAATTCAAAACATGTACAACAGACTTATTAGAATGAGTGCTAAAATCACTGCCTTATATGGAGAAGCTCATAGATTGTACTTGTTTCATTCTGAGAGCTGTCTTGTGGAGATAGATGATATAAATTACAAAAACATATAGTTACACATAAGAGTGTATAGGGTGTATTCACAGTAAAATACAAGTTAATCATAAAATGGAATATTTTCTATCAGGTTTTCAGACATTTTATCTTATTATTAAAATCAAAATATTATTCATAACTCAGCTGTGTGAGACCAAAACAGTTTTTTTTTTTCCATGTGCTTAAAGCTGGCAGTGAGTTCCTCATTAATTAGAAAAATCCATTCTTTCTATACATTTTCTTTATTAGCAAATTAATGTCTTGTCAAACAGAATTGTCATGAATTGTTAGGAAAATAATTATTTGGACTGAATTATAATTAGCTTGAGTATGTGCATAATAATTTATTTTTGCAATTTTCTTTTGTCAAAATTAAATTTTTGGTCCAAATCTCACTGAATACAATTGAACTTAAATCTGATCTTTAGTTTTGTAACATCTACTCTTGTTGAGGCGTGTTCCGTCACACAATTGTGGCCAAAGTGTACAGTTAAAGATCAGTTAGACCGATTGTAAGCATAGTTTAGATCATTATGTTTTCTTCTCATTGATTCTAGAGAGGCAAAAAAATATATATTCTTTTTCAAGCAATACGTTTTTGTAGAAATAAGTTCGGAAAAGCTGGTTAAAATGGCTACTTTGAAAAGAGTTACATCAATAACGCTAATTATATGTCAACAAAAGCAAATTGGCAGACCATGATTGTTTACATGGTTACACAGTAATTTATTTCGTAACTGACGAATAAAATGATTCTATGTAAGAAGTTAATATGTGAATCTTACGAAAAGATGCATCATTCCATGAATTTTGTAAATATATGTTATCTAACTCTATATATTTTCCCTGAACTATTTCAGATTGATTTTCTTCATACAGTTATCATTAAGCTTGATATTATTTTGACTTCAAAGTAAAAGTACTTCAGATCATTACTCCTCTAAGTAGTACTTTTATCAATGAGCTTTTAACGTGCGGCCTTTAACAAAGTAAAAAGAAGAGTAAAGTATTATTGATCAATGATCTTAATGACATGAATTTCTACATAAAACAAACAACTCTTCAATCAATCCTCAATTAAATTTTGATATCTCAAAATTACCTGTGTTCATAACTGTATACTGGTGTTCACTCCAGCCAAGTAAAAAAAAGAAAATTGAATTCCCTTAAAAGAAAAGTTTGTTCACAGTTCAAACTAAAATATTTGTTTAAACCTTCCAATCAGATTCAAATTTTTTTCTCTATTAAAGATAAGATTTATCTTTCTCAATGATCCTGTGTAACTTATGAATTTTGTTACTCAGTATTTGAGGACATTTATATCAGTTCCACAATAAGAAAGTTTTAATAATCATCAAAACAGTACAGAACTTTTATTAGTAACTTAAGATATTTCAAAATTTCAGTTTTTTTACACTTTTTGTCACAGAAATATGAAAATAATAAGGAATGAAATTACAATATTTGCAGAGTCTCTGATTGAAGAAAGCATTATTTCCTATATTGGTATCATGAATGTACTGATTTAACGTTCTTTATAATCAAAGAATAATGGTAGACTCAAACATGGCTGACATATGATAGTGAAAAAGTATAATTATAAGATAAAATAAAGTTTAATACAAGGTAGTAGTTCCATCACCACAGTTTCCACTATAACAAATTTTTTGCAAAGGAATAGGAATCTTACACCACACATCTTCACAGTTTTTTTACACTCTTCACTGGAAATGGATGATATGACTTCCTAAGTTCCTAGACCACATTTAAGCAGACCAAAGGCACAAAATCCATATAGGAGCTACATTACAGGAACTGAAAAAAGTACGTGATCAAATGAAATTTTTCTGATTACAGTTTCTTCAGCCATCTTTCCCATAAAAGCAGCCATAAATTGTGAGGTTTAGCTGGAAGCTACTCTCAGCTCAACAGACTGATGCATAAAAAATTCCCAGTCAAATGCAGTTTACTCTGCCTCCTGTTAAACAAAAACCTGTATCCCTTTATCAAATTCTTAATATCTTGTTTTTACCAAAAAATATATTCCAGACTTTATTACAATGGCTTTTTGAGTCAAAATGTTCTCTTTCATAACCATCACTTTGCTGATGAGGGTGTTGCTTTAGATTGGCTTGAGATATGGTTACTGAGCCCATTATTTTCCTAAATACACTGTGGTGTGAATTTTTCTGTTTCCATGGAGAACGTTGAAGCCTCCTTGTTTTTACTTTTTGTATGAATATTTTCTTTCAGTTAGGGCTATGAGACAGTCACTATGAGCATTACACCGTTGAATGATCAAACATTTTGTGTTCAAAAAAAGAAGGTATTAAACATATTGCTCTTGGCATCATGACTCATATGTGTTCTGTTCTTAAATAGTATGATTAATTTTCTGTTATTGTATATATATAGTTGCCATATATACAGTTTGGATGAAGTTATTTAATCAGACTACTTACATTTCAAATATTTGTATAGAGAATATTTTTATACAGCTTCTACTGTGAAAGTAGAAAATTATGATATCAGTGATTCATATTAAAATGTTCATAAAACTGCACTAGTTTTATATATGTATTTACATTTATTTACTGATGTTAGGATGAAGAAGTAGCTAGGCAACTAGTAGAACTAGGGTACCGAGGAAGTGGTGAGGTTCTTAAACGTGAAGATTTTGAAGCCAAAAAACGAGCTATAGAAGCCAGCAGATTAGCCAGTAGGATGCACCAGAAGTAAGTGCAAATAAGCTGTACACTATTGTAATTTTGTACTTTATTTCGTAATTAGTTTGAATTATTTATGTACATAAGAAAAAAGAAATATTAATCATATTAACTACATTCCTTAATTATTATTGTGTTTGAAGTCTTGCTGAAATATTTTGGTTTTTTTAGCAATCATTTGTGATCTTTTATATAACACATTCATGTGTGTGTGTATGATTTTTTTCCCAACTCAGTAAAACATACTATTGTGGTTTTGAAAATAACCTATTAAATTCATTAGCGAGGAAAAAAAGACAATTTAATTATCTGATTTTTTATTTACTACTTAAAAAATTAACACATATGTTTTGGTCAAAGTATTTTATTACAGTAATTATTCTAGTGAACTAGCCAATGTCTTATAAAAATCATCATGATGATATGTGAGTTAGTTTCCAAAGACTTGTTTAATAAAAGATTTGTAAGTTCATTGCTTAGAAATGTGTCCATTGGAAATATCCATAGCCTGGAATAAAAGGTACCTATAATAATATGTCTACAATAAAGCTAAAAGAAAAAAAAATAATGCCCTGGTGTACCTTTTTCATATAATTTTTTTATTTTACAAAACAACTATAAGCATAATCAAAAAGTTAGTATCCCTAATAAGAGTAAAATGATACTTACAAACTTGCAATACAGTTTGCAAAATAAAAAGGCTCTGGTAAGTACGATAGAATGAAAACTTATAGTATAAGACTAGAATATTGACCTTAAAGAAAATAGTAAAACAGGAGAAAAACTTATCATTTGAAAAAATGTGCTAAAAATTTATTTTATTCTGTTTTCTTTTAAATTGTAACAAATAACATATAGAATACTTGCAAGTGCTGGAAAACAGTTGCAAGATACTTTTCTCAAGGCTCTGGCTGACAGAGAAGATGATAATCGCAGAGGAAACTTAAATGTAAGTTAAATTCTTTATAACTTATAACTTTATAAATTCTTTATAAGACTTGCAACTAAATATTTTTTTATGTTAAAATATTAAATGCATGAAATCAGCTATATTATCAAAGTGATATTCACTTGTTTTACTGCTGTAGCTATTGTCCTTTCTGTTAGTTGACAGCACATAGACTTCTTTCATATTTGGTACATCCATGTGCATAATCTTTTGATGCTTTAGGAATATAAGCAACCTCAAAGGAATGAGTTATTTCATGTTTTTGATATTTATTAAAATTAAAGGAAACAATTAGCAATTTAACAATTATAAATATTCAACAATTCACAAGGTTGCTTTGATATAATATGTTAAAGAGATCTTCTACAAAATATTTGCATATGTACTCAATACATATGTTTGCCTTCATATTTAAATCATATGTTCATGCATTAGTGAGTGCAACAGTCAAGCTAACAAAATAATATATTTACTTCTCTGCACACTGTAGCTATTTCTGGCATGTCTGCCTTTGAGGTTTAGCACATGCCACTAGCCTTGAGCTATCTCCCACTTAGGACATGTTATATTATGAACTGTGCCAGAATGTGATGTGATCATCATGTGACAATAGCCCTCCACCAATATGAGGATGACATATCCTTCATGCACAGTAGATCCACGTAAGCACTTACACTCAAAATTAACTTCCTTCTTATCTTCTGCACTGTCTTTAACAGATGTGTTTCTTTAAGATTAAGCTTCATCAACTTCATGAGATTTGTGCTGCCTTTTCACACAGTTAACTTTCTTTGATTTTTTTCTAGTTTGACTTCAATTTAAGGTTACATTGCCATTAAATGACTAAAAAAAATTGATCTGTAGGATTCCTACAATGACCATGAATTCTCAAATGCAGAAAATTGAATAAAGGACTATACATCAAACAAAATAACATGATATTTATAACATTTAGAGTGGTCATCTACATAAATATCTTTACCATGTTAATATATGAAACACGAAAACAGTAATTAGATATGTTACACGTTTTTTGTTTTTGTTTAGTACATCCTCCCAAGGTTCTGGCAATTTTGCTGACATTACACCTGCTTTGTCTGTGATCACTGGAGGCTTGTTGACTATGGAAGACATTACTGCTATCGTTCATTGTTTTGTGGGTTTTTCACCTATATATCTTTTTGGGAATTTGATCATTTAAGTTTGTTCTTTACTTTCCCTTTCTCCTATATCTTTTGATTCTTCTAATTTCTTACAACATGACTCTGAAGATTGTTTCGTTTTCCAAGTATACACGTCCATGTTTGCATATTCTTGTCTTAGCTTAGTTCCCACTCTCAAATGGCTTGTCCTCCTTGACTCCAAGATTCCATTGCTTTGGTTTATAGCCATTCCCCTTTTCTGTTCTTGGACTCCCAATCCCTAGAGTCTCTTTTATCTGCATAAGGGACTGACCTCCTGTCTCCAGTAACACTCTATAGTGCTCAATTTTCTAATCTTCACCCCTTTTCTTACCCATCTCCTTCATTACCTACCATCTTTTTATCTCCTATCTGAATCCCTACACCATGATTCTAATAGTTTTTCTAGGGATCTACAGTTGGCTCTTTTTGTAGGGTTTCATCTTCAGCCTTGTCCCTGCTTATTTGTTTCCTCTGTTGTTGGTACCTTCTGGGATGTGACAACTTTCTCCTATTACTCGATCCCTTGAACCTTCCATCTCCTATTTCTCTTTCCTCTACTGCTTCTCACTGTCCCCCTTGCTCAACTGGGTTGGCTGGTCAATTTTTCCAAGTTGTTTCTGACTCAGACTCATTACTTGATCCAACTTGGAGTCTTTTTTTTTAATCATGATCCAGTCAGGTTAGATGCCTACCTCTCTTCACATCTTTTCAACCTTCCTCCCCACTATCAGTACACATAAATCTTGCCTCATCTAAGAATGAAATTAGTTTTGAGTGTAAGTGCTTATGAGGATCTACTGTGCATGGAGGAAGTGTCACTCTCCTGTTGATGGAGGGCTCTTGTCGTACGATTACTACATCATGCATTAGGCTTATAAGGATCTACTGTACATGGAGGAAGTGTCACTCTCCTATTAATGGAAGGCTATTGTCGTATGATTATTACATCATGCACTGGTGCAGTTCACATTGTAACATATGTTCTAAGTGAGAGATAGCAAGATTGCAAAGGCAGATGTGCAAGGAATAGCTAATCTGTGCATACAGGTAAACATCTGTCAGAAATACATTTCCAGGTAATTAAAATGTTAATTTTTGAAGCATATTTTGATGAGTGATATTTATTTTAAGTATTGTTGGTATTCAACAAAAGTCTCATTATAAGACCATAAAGAAGTAATATATTCCACATTCAAAATCTATATATATATATTTGCCATTTTTGCATGATTGGAATCTGATATGAAGTAGTTAGTTCTAGTAAATGTAATTCATGTAGATGGCATTATTTGCAGAATATTGAAAAACAGTCATAAAATACCCCTTTTTTTTCAGACTATAATTTTTCTTCGTACTTGTAATAATAGAAAACAGGAAGTGTCTGCATATATTGATTTTGCTCACAGTCTCCAGACTGAAGATTGGGAAGTATATTTTTCTGGAAGAAAAAAACTCCTTCCCAAACTCTCAGATCTAAGGTAATTAAGAATATATTTTACTGATTGAGTGTTCTATACTTTTTAGTGACATGAATTTCATAAGCATTTAAAGCATAAGTTATGGTATTATGTTGGTTTGAAATTATTCAATTCTCTTACACTTCTAATTTTAATTATTTGAATCTTGTGATCAAAATACTAATTAAAGCCCTGCACTTATCCATTTCTATATGTTTATTAACATTTCATTAGTAAAATATAAGTTTCTCAAACCCAGCTTTCTAGGAAATATATATATATTAAACAAGTATATGTAGAATGTTCTTGCATCTTAACTTTATGATGATATTCAAATGTAAATTTTCATATTATACTAACCACAGAATGTATGCAAAAGTTATAAACGTTATTACATGTCATAAAAAAGATAAATTTCTTAAATTTGCAAGCCAGAGAAGTCAAATTTTATGCTTTAACAACAGGAACCATAAAAGAAAGTGGTAAGAACGTTAAAATTCCTTTAATATATTATCAAGGGCATTAAAACTTATTTCATTAGTTGTATACTTTATCTATATAAACAGGAGTATTGATAACATTATGTAATATTTTATAGATTTCTGTTTTCTTAATATAATTCAAAGCTTTTACTTTTCAGCAAGCATTTGTATTTGTTAATTATATGTTTAATCTTGTCTTTTTTAGGTAATTTTTGAGTTTTTTTAAAACAATTTTCTTGTTTTTCTCAGTGATACTATACTGTAGTAAGTGTCTGCTACCAAATATCACTTGGATTTAAATTACATATTCTGATACGGTATATTATCTCCACTCACAAAAATAGCTATTCTCGTTTAGTGCTGCCTCTATATACAAGCCACAGGCCTTGAATCTCCTACCCATTTGGAAGTGACTGATTCCAATGCGTCAAACATGCAAATCATCATGAGACAACCCTCCACCAATAAGAGTGCGACATACTCTCTTGATGCATATGACTCCCTCTATTCTATTCTACTGAACTGCCACTTCTCGTTTGGCAGCAGTCATGTTAAGATGTTTTTTGTTTTGATGCTCATTGTATGATTTGAAATTGTGACTTTTAATAGTTTAATTTCCAAAGTGGAATTTCTTCATTAATGTTATTTTTATCTTTACATTGAGGAATAATTTTTCAGTTAACTTAATTTCTCAATCTTTTTTTTTTCTCTCTCACCCAAATTTTTATACATTAAACACTTTTGTTTGATTTATATTTCAAAAATGAATTCTGAGGTTAATGTTACCATTTCGGATATCATACCTCCTACTAGCTCTATCTCACAAGCTGCAGGTGGGGAAGACCCGTCATTGG